TCCCTCTCTCTTATGACTTGCTATAGGGGAAGCCAGCTGCCATATCGTGAGGACACTTAGGCAGTCCTACGGAGAGGTAGATGTGTATGTGATAAGGCCTGCCGGGCACCATGGAGCTTGAAAGCACATCCTTCAGCCCCAGCTGAGCGTGCAGACGACCCGCCAACATCTTGTCTGCAAACTCATGGAAGAGCCACCTGAGCCTAAACCACCAGTGAAGATCAGTGTGTGAGATAATAAATGTTTGTTGTTTCAAGCTGCTTAGATTTGGGTAATTTCTTATGCAGCAATAGGTAACTAATACAATGTACAATGTCATCCCCTAACTGATAACCCATAAAAGGGTCTAGTCCAGTTACTGGAGAGCTAATTCAACAGTTACGCAGCATCTGCTATTTCCTAGGTTAATTTGCTCAAATTTTCTACCTTAAAATTTTTTTCTAAGAAGCCCATTATTCCTCAAAGCCAAAGAAGGATCTTTTGTGTATATCTTTTATCTCAGCTATTAACAAGACCCAAGAGATTATTGAAATAAGTTATTTTAAATACGCAACTTGTAATTTGCTATCTTTCAAATGACTTTTTCTGATTGCTAGATATATGGGTTTGGGATACTCATTTTAACCTATTTTTATCTGTTATATAATTTTGGGTAATACAACAAACTCCCAAATCTCAGTGGCTTAAATCCATCAAACTACCTCTTACTCAGGTAGGTCCGAAGTGGATATCCTGGTAAGTGGGAAGCTTGCTGTTTCTTCAGGTACTCTGGATTCTTGCATTTCATGGATCCTTGGCTGGTCATTTTCATCGGGCCAGTAGATCTGAGAAGAGAGAATATGGAGGATCAAGTAGGATGTTTTTATGCACCAGACCTCAAGTGGGAGATCACACCAATCACATTCTATTGGTTGGATTTCTTCTCTTTCCAATCCTAGGAATTTTGATCAGGCCTAAGGCTAAGAAAATGGATTCTTTCCTAATCTTTAAGACCAGACTGTTGAGACTTGAACAATACCTTTTCTCATTCACTTGCCAGTTTTAAAAATCAAAAGCAGGCTACCAATTTTTGTCCCTTGTTTTTCTGCTGTAACAAATTGAATCTCTTCATTTTGTTGGTGCTGCTGTTTGTTTATTTTTAAATCCAAATAGCACCCTAAGAGTTTAGCAGAAGAGATGGAAATACTAAATTTTTGACACAATTTTAAAAAAAATAGGTAAGACCAATACAGTAATAATAAATCCTTTGAAATTTAATTTTCATTCGGTTTCTCTTGGTTTGTATTTAAAGTACAAATGAACTCAGAATACCTAGGATGAATAGTATAAACAAAAATGAATAATTTTCCTCCATATAGCCATTTACACATAAAGTCAATCACTCCATATGTAAATCTATTCATTTTATGAACATTTATGTGATTTACACTGATATGTAAGCCATAATTGTATTGTTAGCAGTTACTCACTTATGAGCATTCACGTATATGTCCCTACTGTATGTATTTTCATACTGCTCACACTCTTACACTGATTCGTGGACCACATGTTTCATGTAGTTCCAACATTATTCTGCTATTCAGTGAAGGGCTACCAGAGTAAAGACCATAGATTATAAAATTTTCATAATTTTTGGCATAAATATTACTGCTACCCAGGAGTATATTAAATTAGTCATTCTACTATAGAAAACCTTCTAAACTTTTCCCCCTTGAAATGAAATATATTTTTTGATGTAAAAGAGGCAGGAAATAATCAAACTTCCCATTTCTGGGCCAACTTTGTAGTTTCATAGTCTTATTTCAAATATACCACAGAGGAAAGGAAAATTGATAAATCATGAAATAGAAAATTACACAGAACCATGAATCTTACCTGTTTTTTCCTTCTCAAGAAATAATTCAAGTGATTTAGAGTGATTATGGTTTACATGAGAAAGGAGGCAGAACAGCCCCCAAATCTGGAGAAGCGTTTAGTAATAATATGAAAGGTGACCTAATTCAGAACTGTAAGATGACACCCAACGGAATATTTATATTAATACAATGAACAAACATATGGCACTGAGAATTTTGTGTTGAAGTAGAACTTTTCAAATCACCCTGAAAAATAACTAGATGAGTTTATTTCTTTCACTGTGAGGACTAGGCTTCATGAAATTCTGAGCAAATTCTTACTCTGGGGGTAATTTATTCTTTTTTCTTTTTGTCCTGGAGATTCGATGGCTGTAATGATCTCCATAATCTAGTAGCCCAAGGGCCAGATAGAAAAATGTGCAAGAACCCGAGACTCAGTGCTTCCTAGTTTTATGTGTTTTGCTTAAGGTCCTACTGGAAGCAAGTTTATGCCTTTTTTATCCACAAGAAACAAATAGCAGCAACAGCCTGGAAACTCTTCCACCCCCGACACCTAGAAATTCAAGGTAAAACGCAACTTTTCTTTTACATATAGCTGAAATGCATCAAAAAGTAGATTTTCCTGAGTGCTGGGGATAAAATGAGCACTGGCCGCCACAGCGGTCAGCTCACGAGCTGATGGAGCTGCTGTAGTCTGGCATTTATAGTTCAAAGTTTCAAAACATCCAGAGATGTAATCCCCCACGACCAAGATTTAAAAGGCATAGTAAACAGCAGATTTAGAAAACCCAATGACGTGAATAAAGCAATCTGACAAAGCATATAAGATAAGTATTTTTAAAATGATTAAGAACATAAAAGGGGGACCAGCCCAGTGGCTTAGTAGTTAAGCTTGTGCTCTCTGCTTTGGCCACCCAGGATTCATGGGTTCAGATCCTGGGCACGGACCCAGCGTGGCTTGTTGAGCCATGCTGTGGCAGCATCCCACCTAAAATAGAATAAGACTGGGGGCCAGCCCAGTGGCGCAGTGGTAGAGTGTACACTTTCTGCTTCAGCAGCCCGGGGTTTGCCAGTTTGGATCCTGGGTGCAGACATGGCACCAATATGGACGCCATGCTGTGGTAGTCTTCCCACATATAAAGTAGAGGAAGATGGTCATGGATGTTAGCTCAGGGCCAGCCTTCCTCAACAAAAAAGAGGAGGATTGGCAGCAGTTAGCTCAGGGCTAATCTTTCTTGAAAAGGAAAAAAATAAAAACAAAATAGAATAGAATAGAATAGAATAAGATTGGCACAGATGTTGGCTCAGGGCCAATCTTCCTCACAAAAATAAAAAATAAAAATCAATCAATCAATAAATAAATAAAAGGAAGAGTTAAAACTATACAAGAACCAAAAGACATCACAAAAGAAACCTTGGGAGATTTGAAAAAGAATCAAATAATAGACACTGATAAAATGAAATTCAATAAATGGGAAAAAAGATATATTTATTTTAAAAAAGAGAGAAATAAGAAACTGATCCAAAGATAGCAGAGACAAAGAGTTGGAAAATGTGAATGAGACAAAGAGATGTGGTACATAGAGTGAAAAGATATGACATATTCATAAGTTCCAGACGAAGAGAAAAAAAAGGAGACAGGCAATATTTAAAGATGTAATTTCTGACAATTTTCCTAAATTGGTGAAGACTTGAATTCTCAAATTAAAGAAATATTATGAGTTCCAAGCATGATAAATAAAAATAACTCCAAACCTAAACAAATAGTAGCAAAATTACAGAATATCACAAAGAAAATATCTTTAAGAGAAAAATTCATCACCTACAAAGGACCTAGGATTAGATTAACAGCGGGTTCCCAGAGCAACGATGGTCAGAAGAAAACAAAATAGCAAGTTCTTTGTAAAAACAATGGGAAACAAATATAAAAAAAACTATTTTCCAAGACAGAGCATTTAAAGGCATATTGAGACAAAGACTATGAGGGGGTTTATCATTTACAAGATCATCACTGAATAAAACTCCTTAAAAATGCATTTTAAGAAGAAAATTGAACCCAGAAGGAATACATAGAATGCAAGAAGCAACTGTGTGAAATGAAATTGGTCAGCACGTGAATAATTCTAAATAGTACTTGGCTGTGTATTTTTGAAATGTTTAATTTTGGAGTATAAAAATGAGATGGAAGTAAAGTACTGGAAATCTGTTAAATATGAGACGCACTGCAGTAAACGTGCTCTAACAATTTAGTGTCTGGAGGGAAGTTAGATTCTAAGAACCTAAGATTGTGTTAAGAATACTGTTTCTGTTAAATTTTAAGATCCATCTTTAATAAAATAGGAATAGCATAAGTCTTCCAAACTATAATGGAGATAAAAAGGAATAAAGAAAACCTAATCAATGTATGAGAAGGCAGGCAAGGAAGAAAATAGAGAAAAGTAGGCTGAAGAAAATAAGATTTTCTGTAGTTGACTATTTCCAAGAATTAAGTTCAAAATGCTTATCATGAAATAGAAAAAATATGTATATGAGACTATTTAACAATATTTTCTCAAGGTATCATCAAATGGAGAACTAAGCTATATTACTATATTATATTTACAATAATTTAGCTAAGTTTAAAGTATAAGCTTGGAAGAATATTAAATACATAATGTTATTATCACCCAACAATCTAAAAATTAAAATTAAGACGGATTAGGTTCTGAGAGAGTTAGATGGCATTTTGAGAGGTGCTTTGCTGACTTCTTCTCTAACGGAGAATATCTGGCATGATTAAACAAGCACAAAAGGATTTTGGAATGCCCAGTTGCACTTGAACAGATGTGGTGGCTGAGTAAAATAGTTCCTTCTGATGTGGTTTCTACTTCCATCTCCTGACCTGAAAAAGGCTGCTAAAGTGAAGAGTCATCCCGTTACATGTTAACAATACAAGAAAATAAGAAGTCAAAGAAAGATATGTTCGTGTCATATTCTACAGTTGCTCCAGTTCACTTAGATACCCACACAGACTGGTTCCAGTCAAATTGTGACGTGCGTGTTTTGGTCCCCGTCATCTTGACATCTCATACCCAATTACTCAAGGGCTCTTTCAGTCCCTCCCTTCAGCTGTCCAGAGTGTGACCTAACTCTGTGCTCCTGAGCCAGTGCTATAAACGGCAAGAATCTCCAACAGTCCTGTTACAACAAACGTACCTGTCCTGTGTTCTGTTCCATAGGCAGCCCTCTCTTTCCAGCTTTCCAAGGGAATAGCAATAATGCCATCAAAAATGTAAGTGGGATTGGATTTCTCTGACCCTCTTCTACTTAGGTAATGTGTGAATTTTAAGTGTAGCCTTATCATGGAATCTAAGATTGTGTTCAGGGTCAGGGCAGCTCTCTACCCAACTGTGAGACTCATGGGAAACAAATAGCTTGTTGAGCCTTAGTTTCTTCATTTGTAAAATGGGAAGATAGTACCTGAACTGCCTGCCTCAGAGGATTATTGTGAACAGCAAAGGAGATAAAACATGTCAAAGTAATCTGAAATGTGTAAACCTCTATAAGTTACTTTTTTAAAAATCTTATTCCAATGGTTTGGCTTTACAAGAGCCTGTTTCGCATATGGCGACTGCTCGAGCTCTGAATATTTTCGAGTGGGTACTCCATTCGAGACACGTTAGGTACATAGTCATCTACACTTTCTTTGAATGTTTTGAAAGTCAACTTGAAATTAGATAGTTCTCATTGAGAAATCCAATTACCTCCAAATAACAACATCAATATATACTTCCTGATTTCTAATCACCCAGGTTCAATAAGGCCAAAAAACAAAAGAAATAAAAGGCATCTAGTGAAAATGGGAAATTTAGCCACATTCATTTATTCTGTTCAAGAACTAGTAAGATCATCTTTTCAACAAGGTTTAGGATATGAAATAGCCTGCAGAACTATTTTATGAACTGACTAAATGATAAGATAATTGAAAACTTAAAAGAATTTTTATTAGCCATTCTGCAAGTCCAGCAAGGGAACCAACTATAGAGGTGAATATAAAGAATTTGGGTCTAATGTAGGAAATGTTCCTCATTTAAAAAAGGAATGAGGGTTGGTCTGGTGGCATAGCCCTTAAGTGTGCACCTTCCACTTCGGTGGCCCCGGCTTTGCCAGTTTGGATCCCGGGTGCGGATCTACACACTGCTTGTCAAGCCATGCTGTGGCAGGTGTCCCACATCTAAAGCAGAGGAAGATGGGCACAAATGTTAGCTCAGGGCCAGTCTTCCTCAAAAAAAAAAAAAAAAAAAGGAATGATTCCCACTTGTTAATTGTAGTGCACTGTAGAGTCAATGACAGATTCTTTTAATGAAAGTGATATTGCTTAACCAGCAAATGTTTTCAGTGCAACTCAAAATGTACCTAAGAAGATTCAATAGATTTAATAACTTGTAGGAGAAAAATAGAGGCAAGGGCAGCCTCAGAATGAGGCTATGCACAAACACACACACATACAGGCTGTTATTCCCTATTACTATCTATTTTTCTCAAATAATGGTAGTTAAAATCTAAGTGGTTTTCATACACATTTAAAAAAATATTCTTTAAGAAGTAATAGAAAAGAAACATGTCAACATCACCTACTAGGACTGGTCAACATAATCAAGAAAGGGAAGCAGTGCGACATTTTCTAGGTATCACACAAGTAGAAACACCTCTCTGTGTGTGCCCTCTCTTCATAAGAAATCCCTGTGCATTCCGCTGGCCAACCGGTAAAATCCACCCTGCAAGTCCTGACCGTACCCACCATGAAAGTACAGAATGGATAGAGCTTCAAGGAGCTCCAGATGGCAGCTCTATTTGCTATAAATTCAATGCAATCAGTGCTTTCTTACTACCTCGTGTGGTCCACGCGCAGGTCTCAGGACAGAGAAAGAGTCTTGCATCCGTGTGCCAATATTTAGTCAAAAAGAAAATATATCCAGTCATAGTATTTCTATAAGTCTTTATAACGCACTTAGCTAGTCCACCGGTGGTCTTTTCCATAAAATGGTTTTGAAAATAAATATTTCAAAACATCAGAGGAAGGGCAAAATGTCCTCTTAACAGATGAAAAGTCTCAACGTTGAAACGTATCCTCATTACGTGGGAGACAAATCTTTCAAGCTACGCCTGTGTAATTGAACACTGTATCAACACTGTAGGTAAGTTGCAACATCCCGGTGACTTATATGAGGGACATCGGGTGATTAGTGGCATACCAATGGAAAAAGCAGAAAATTCACCGCCACCGAGCCTTCAGTTGAGATTTATGGAAACAATGCAGAGTGAGAATGAAGTTGGTTCTGTTGGCTTAAGCTGAGCCTCTGATATTTGCACCCAATCCATTGCATTGGTGCTCCCATTGTATGTTCCACCTTCCCGTTTTGAAACGCAACAAACATTTCTAAGTCAGATTTTTCTAGTTGTTTTCTAAAAAGGTTTATGATCACAGCTGCAGTAGTTATGGCTCGGTTTATAGTACATTGCCCACCGATGGTCCCATATGTCCAACAGAGTTTGTTTGGTACCATACCTTCCACAGACCTGGGCCCGTGCTTGAGGTGTGCCCATAACCCTGCCGTTAAATGGGCCAGCTGTGCTCGTAAACTCACGTTCACAGCCTCAATCCACCCGCCTTACAAAAGTCAGAGGCAATAAATCTATGTTCAGTCTATATATGCACTTTTAAGTATTTTTTTACACTTCTGAAAAGAAAATATAAAATATATCCATGTCTTCTGTGATCCTGTCTGAAATTAGAGCTGGTTTCTTTGGCGTGTATAAACAATGACGTTAAAGTCCTCGCTTTCCATTTCTTTGCAAGATGTCCATTCTTCTCCTGGACAGTCTTTTCTCCTCACCTTAAAAAAAGAGGAGCAAATGATAAGCTTTGTTCTTTTCTTCCCCCTGAAATCCTTTGATAAGGACATTGAGGCCTGGGCATGATTCCATCTATAGCAACAGCTTCTTCACTCGGTGTGAACCAGGAGCGAGCAAGTGTGAACACACAGCCTCCAATGATTCAGCTGTGACAGTGTGCTTCTTCAGTGTGGCCACCCTGGACCACAGCCCTAGCACAGAGGGACTTTCATCACTCTCTTCATTTGCCATCAAAGGCTAGTGCTGATTTCCTAGTCCCCTACAGGGAGGGCATATATTTAAAATTTTTTCCTCAAATTATGACACATTTCTGCCAATTTTAATGAGTCAAAGATAAATATTACATTAAAACCAAGTTTGGAAAGAGTTTTAAATTACTCTGAGGTTGTAAATTGACTTTCCAACTGAAGAAAATTTAGAAAGCCTTATGAACATTTTCTTTGCTTGAAAGTTCTCATCTTGAAATGGCTGTGCATCTGAGAAACAGCAGATTTTCAATCAGTTTTGCAAATACAATTAACAATAATTTATTTTAGACAGCATGAATGATCCTTGGTTGAATATATTAGATGCTGTATTACTAAGGTAAGCACTATCTGTGTGGGACAATCCAGTGGTAACTAAATTGGGAATAGCGGTGGAAGAAATAAGTAAAATAGCTCTTAAGATTGAGTAACAGTTATTCAGAAATGGGCTAGGTTCTCTTTCTCTGTCTCTCTCTCTCTTCCACTAATTTTTTTAAGTAATAAGTAAAGAGGAATTTTTATGTCCACCTCAATTCTTTGTGGCAGGAGGGTAGGCAGTCAGAAACATTTTTCCCTTCCTTCTCTGGCTCAGCGTGAAATATTTCAGTGACCTTGTGAAAGCATTTAACACGATGGTGCCACTCCTTTCTTGTAATATTATTTTCCTTGGTTTCCAGATATACTACTCTCTTACTTTCTGTCTCTTGTGTCTCCTCAAGAAGCCCGTTTTCTTCTACTTGGCCATTAAATGTTTGTGCTCAGTGTTCGGTCACCTGCCCATTCCTTCTTTCACACTGTATCTCACCCGAGGTAATTTCATTTATACTCACAACTTTAATCATCACCTAAACTCAGATTATCTCCCTAGCTGAGACCTTTCCTTGAGTTACAGGTGGGCATATCCAAGAGCTGACTTTGCGTGTTTACCAACCAGTCTCAAATGTACTACAAATTCAGTAAGTCGAAAACCAAAATCATGATCTTGCCCTCCAGACCTTGACTGTTTCTGTCACAGTGGATGGAACTAACGTGTATTATGTTATGTAAGCCAAGAACCTGAATTCATCCTTGAAATCTATCTTTTCTTCTACAGCCTCCTCGCCATATACAATCTATCACCAAGTTATGCTAATTTATCTCCTAAATAAGCTCTGAAATCTGTTCCTTTCTCTGTATCTTTATTGCCAACTCTGTAGTCCAAGCTATGCTGTCTCTTGGCTGGCCTACAAGAAGCCTTCTCTCTGGCCCACCCAGATTCACTTCGGACCCCTCCAACCCAACTCCACATTCTGTCCAGATGCTCTCTCCCCTTGCCCCCTCACCGTCACTACTCCCCAGTTAAGATTCTTCCTGGGCTTACGATTGCTCTCAGAATAAAGACAAAATACCCAGTGTGGCTTATAACTTCCTGAAGGGTCTTGTGCCTACCTGCTTTCTCAGCTCCACCTTGCGCTGTGATCCCTTTTGCTCTCTCAGCTTTAGCTTTGCTGGCCATCCCTAGTCCTTCTTAATCATCGTTTTTTCGCTCTTGTTCCAAGTCCTTTGGATCTTGAATATTCTTTGTTTTCAAATTTGCAAAGTTTAAACCTACTTACCTTTCGGATTTTCGGATCCTGGTATTCTGACTAGAATTCTGACTAGATCTCTAGCACTGTCTGTATCTTCTTCTAGGTAATATTAGAATCTTAATTTTGCATTTATTTTGTGGCTTTTTTATTGCTATCTTCTGAATAGACTTTAAACTTCATGAGGACATTGTCCAGTCTTACTCAGTGTGTGGCACAGAGTGAGTGGTCAATAGCATTTGCTGCAAGAATGGCTTGATGAATAAGCGTGTCTACAAGGGCAGATTTCAAAGTGGTCATAATGAAAGAGTTCTCTCTGCAAGAAGCAGTGGAGTGCGGGAGGGGAATCGCGGATCTTGGAGTCCCACAGACATGGATCTGAAACTACTGTTGTACCACTTAGAAAGCATATTGCTGGAGCCTCCTGACCATCAGTTTTCTCTTCATCAAAAGTGGTGCTAATGATTCCTTCTTTTAGGGCTGTTATGAGGTAAGGGACACAGAGTAAGCACGTAATGGCTAAATAATTTAACAAATATGTTTGTTCCAGCAGCAATTTTTAAGCATGTCATATGTGACGGCGTCTCCATCATCATGGTTGCCCCACAGCGTGGATACGCATTTGGTTTAAGTGAGTCTCAGCTGTGTCACCGATTTGACATCAAGTGCTGTCTTACAGCTAATCTTCTCTGTGTGTACAAACAGATGAGCAGTCAGATATAAGGCACTAAACTTGTTTTTCTCTTAAATGACTCACTTCTTCTTATTGAATATCGCACATAATAAGTGGGCAATAAATATGAGTTGGTTGATTTTTTTAGCAACTTCTTTACACCAAGAGCACAGCTGATCACCAGAAAGGAATGTTTAAAAAAAACAACAAAAAAGTCCATATTCTTTGCTCTTATAGAATTTAAAATAAAATTATATGGAGTAAATAAATACCAGCTCACATGAGAAATATTTTAAAGTATAAGTATTACAGTGTATGTCAAGAACTTTATCATCATAATAGGGTTCCAATATATGAAATGTAAACTGAGAACAAATTAGTAGTTCCCATAAACACCTTTAAAAAATTTATGGCTCTAGCTCTTTTTCCTGTCCAAACCGACTTCAAGGAGACACTCTGAAAATTAGAAACATTTCCTCAAATATCATTTACGTGTTTTGTGGGAAGCATAATGGTAGTCAATATGGAAAATATTCTGTTTTATTTTGAAAAAGTCCTCAAAGGAATTTATCCGATGCCAGGGTCAAGCTGGGAGTTTGTACTCAACAGTCTTAGCCGTAATTTAAATGCAGAAAGTTAGGATGGCTTAACACAACTAGAGGCATTTAAAAACGAACTAAAGTCATAATTTCAATTTTTTGTTTATTTAATTTAAAATATCTGTAAATGTCGCTTATCCTTCCCGGAATGAAGTAAAACGCAGACCTTGGTCTTTGGCTCAAGGAAATGGTCTTGCTGAGGTGTCAACATCCTGGGCTATGAATTCATAAAATAAAACTTCTATTTTCCATACATACAATGTCTACTCTTTAAAAATACATCATAAAATTATAGAAATGATGCCAGCTCATGGTAGAAATTTAGGAAACTTTTAAAAACATAGAGAAGGAAAAAAAACCCAAGTCTACTTTACGAGTTTATGAAACAACAAAGAGAGTTGTCTGAGCTCAACTCTGAGGGTTATACCAGGCTGGAGTCTCGGGGATTCACCTCAGCTTATTTGCAAGAAGCCTGAGAGAAAATTCCAGCAAAGTGAGCCTGACGTCTAAAAAGACTTAGTCATTGAAGGGGAGTTGCTCTTCCAGATTCTGAAGGCTGCATGGAATCTGATGACAGGATTTGTCTCTCGGGCCAGTTTTTTATTAAAATCATAAGCCTTTAGTGCAGCAGAGAGCTGGGGATCCAGGAAAGCTGTTCCGATAGACCCAGCCCTGGGGAATAAAAGAGGCTGATGCACGACCTCCTCCAGCACGAGGGATCGCAAAGGGAAACAAGCCCCATCTCCCTTTCATCCAAGAATCTCTGAGAAGGTATCCGGGATCTGGAGGTTCTCAGTGTCTCGGCTGAAGCGGGAGACAGTGGTGTCCCGTAAATCCTGAGTGAGAGACAGCTCTGCCAGCCCGACCTACGGCAACAGCAGAAGGGGAGGTGAGTTCTACAACAAACTTGCAAATGCGAGAAAGATATCTTCTGGCATATGAATTTGGCAAGAAATGATGTCTTGTTTTAATTAGCATATCTTTGATTACTAAGGAATTTAAAAACCGATTTATAAATTTGTTGCTGATATAGTTCTTGTGACTTGCCTATTCCTGTCCTTCTTTCCACTGTAATGTTCATTCTTCTCATTTAAAATGAAGTCTTTATAAATTGGAAGATATTCATAATTTCTCTGCAATGCGTTGCACCTGTATTTTATGGTTTGTAATTTGTTCTTTGATTTTATTTATGATGTTTTCCACCCAAGCTATCTATATTTTCTTTTACGTTTTCAGCCTTTGCACTCCACTCCAAGATCAGCTAGATATTCATCTTTAAGTTGTTATATTTAACTCTATAAACTATACAAATAAAATTTTCTAATATAATAGCTTCTAATTCATTTTTGCATTTTTTAACCAATTACCTGATTACTGTACTTGCCCAGTACATGATTTCCTTGCTGGTTTGAAATCCTGTCTTTATCATTTTCATCTGTATTTGTATTTGATTCATTTGTATCTTATATATGACGTGCAATTATCATCTGTCTAATCTCTTTATGTTTCTAACCATCGTTGTAAATTCTAACGGCATTAGCACACTGTACTAAGGAATATGATTTATAATTTAATACCTCGTAATGTAAGTGGGGCTTATTATTCTTCTTTTAAAATATATCTTGCCTGCTTTTTTCTGTTTATTTTTCCAGGTGAATTTTAGAGTTAATGGTCAAACATCCAAGTAAGAACTTGTGGACGTTGGATTAGAATTTCACTAAATGTGAACATTAATATGTGGGAGAAGTGACAATTGCACGTTGTTGAAAATTCCCATCCTAGAACAAAAGGTACCTCTCCATTTATTATCTTCTATTTTCTTTTTCGGTAAAGCTTTGTAGTTTTGTTTTCATTAGTTTCTGCATTTTTCTTACTAAGTTTATTCCAAATTAGTATATATTTTTGTATATTTTGTATCCTTTGAGAAGGATCTTTTTAATCCATTATATTTTGCTAAATTATCTTCCCCATTGTATAGAAAGATAAATAATCTCTATTTATTTTAACATAAAATTCTTGAGGAATGTCTCCTTATACACAGTGTCTACTCCAAATGCTTCACAGCTGATTGCATTTTAAGTTTCAGGTGAAGAGAAAAACCCACTGACCGTGGCATCAAAGATACCCCCAGTTGCATCTTGCTTGATGCAACTGTTTCCTCATTATGCAAAACTGGAAAGTGATATATTCTCTGAACCTCAGTATCCTCATCTACAAAAAAGGATTGTTTTTTCCCTTGACATGGTCAACATGAGACAAAGTGAAAGAATTTTTGTAAAGCACAGATCCTAAAAATATAGCATACAGTAGGAATGGAAGAAAAATATTAGTTCCTTCCTCCTCATCCTGTTCCTTATAGAAAATATGACTTGGGAATTTCATCCTTTAGATATATGAACTAGAAAAAAATAAATGTATGTAAACACATACATATATCTCCTTTAAATGTATTATTAGATAATTTTTCTCCTGGTCTGGTTACTTGGTGGCAAAATGCACATCTATGCATGTATGCACGTATTTTATAATCAATAGTATTACTTTATTGATGAAATACCATTGACTGTACTTTCAAAGTTAATGAGTTGAATCATAGAATTGATGGATAGAAGCACAGCCTGTCACACCTGCAAGATTAATGAGCCCTCTGCCACTAATGACAGCCTGCAGTCATGGGCTTCATTCAGAAATTGCCCAAATATTCACTCACTAAACACCAACTACCAGGCCCAGTGCGAGGACTGAGCATGTGAGGGTGGCAACCTCTGCCCACTGAGATGTGTGATGTTCCTGACTACATCTTAGGAAATCTGTCAGTTGACTCTTGTAAAGCAGTGGTTTCCTCATCTGGATCTTCAGACAATGTATCCGACAACCTAGTTCTTTATCCTGTGCAACTGCTCTCCCTTATCTGACTTTCCTGTCTTTACTAGTTTCATAAATGGTTTGCAGCCTGAAGCAAACTGTTGGGCATTCCATTTTTATTTCTGAGGTTACTGCCCAAATCTTTATTCCATTTTATGTTGATGCTTCAGGAGCTGACCTAGGATAAATGGAAGCTACCAACTGCCAACTGTGCTGTCAGCTGCGTGGTGGGGTCAGAGGTGCTGGCTGAGCCTGCAGATTCTGACGGTTTGCCAGCAGTGAAGGCATTTGCCTTAGAGGGAAACGGTGCCCCGTACAGACCTCACTGCACAGGGCTGCTGAACGCGCCAATTTCAGGCAATGCCCAATTTGGAGAAAAGACGAAGTACAAAGAAAGATGTTTCCTTGACCCCCTCAAAATACGTAAAACTGCCTACACCTGCATAGCCCCGGTAGTCGTTGCCCCAGGCACACCCTCATGCATTAACGGTAGAGAAGAAGCCAGTTTCTGTTTCTTCCCAGTGCTGGGACGGGCACGACAGCTGGTCTCCAAGAGCCGAGCGCACATCCAACCCCGCAAAGAACAAGAGGCCGCAACACTCTCTTTATCTGTTAAACTAAAGAGGGTTTTATTACAGGCTTTGTGCATTCAATGCATTTTCCGCACATTGACTTCTTGTCAACGAAAGGTCGTTCTTGCCTTTTTAAAAATTTACCTTTAATCAAACGTGATTTAAATGCCGAATTCCTGATTTTAAAAAAGAAGAGTGGGTAACATGTAGAAAAAGAAAAATCTATTGAGAAAATCGTTCGACAAATGAAGTCAAGCCCGAATCTAGCTGTAGGAATCACTGGCACACCTATGTGAAAGGAGAAATTGTATGAAAAGGATGTTCTTTTTCTCTTGGGAGATGCACCCTCTGACCCACATTGTGGCATATGGTGAGGAACTCAGTAACTATAAATGTGAGAGATGACGCTCACCCCTGGTTTAACCCTGGGTTTTTCTAAAATCTTATGTAGCGTCCAAATTATCTGCTGAAGTGTAGCCAAGGGTGCCAAGTGGGCAGTGCAGGAGACGTCAGAAGAGAGTGAAATTTGGAAATGAAATGGCAGCCTTTAAATAGCCTGACTGCGTACATCATATGACTTCAGTAGGTCTCTGGTCATGACAGGCGGCAAGGGAGCACCCCTGGGGAGGGTTTAATCCAGAAGCAAATGCCCTTCTGTTCAGTTACCATCCTATTACCACATATGATTACTATACCATCATTCAAGATTTATTCTTTCTCCCTTTCTTTTCTTCATTTTCTATCTTCCCTCCCTCTAGAAAATTGTCAAAAATTCAGGTTCTGAATGATTTCCCATTTGAATCAGTTTGATCACTGCACTCATTAATTTAGGCATAATTTAGAAATTATCAGTGGAAAAAAAGGACATAAGCATTTTTAGAGATTTTAAGGGTTGAAGATCTCATAAACCAGTTTTCATAGTATTTTTGCTAATAAAATTTTGAGGCACTGGATGAACTAGGATCCATTCATATGAAAGAATGTGCGTGTAACCGTGGAAAAGGAATGCGCATGTATTATCTTCCTAACATGTGTCAAGCACAATGCTAAGCATTTTACATATGCTTTCTCACTTATTCTTTTTAACAGCCTGAAGAAATATGGATCATTGTCCCCAGTCTACACGGCAGGAAACTGGAAACTCTCAAAGATGAGCTATTCAAGCTTAGAGAGAAACCGCTTTCAAGTGGCAGAACCTGGATTAAAATTCAGCTCTCCTGCATTAAAGTCTAGGTCTGCTGGCCCCGAGCTCTCCCTCTCTTTCATCCCACAGCATCCCCTATATAATAAAAAATTGAAAAGGTAAAAATCAAGATTTAAATATGCTTTCGCTCAGCAACAAAAACAATGAAAAAAACCTAAAAAGAATAATCACAATTAGGTACTATTGACGTCAGTTTATAAAAATATTTGTTTCATGCAAATATTTAATGAAAACTTGTCATTTGTAATAGTAAATGATCTAAGTGGGAAGTTTGTCTTCATTATTATTAAAACATAGTTTAAATGACGTTAATAATTCTAGCAAAAGTAGATTTATATTAGGCTTATAGCATAAAGACAAAATACATTCAGATTTGCCACATTTAATGTAGAATATACCTTCTTTTGATTTATTTTTCAGTTCTTAGCGGTCAAGAGAAAACAAATATTCTTTCCTCTGTTCTCTCTCAATCTAGTCCCTTGTAATTGATTTAACATCCCCAACTTTCAAATACATTTTGTACTCTTGGTTATGTCTATACTTGAAAAGGAAATACAAAACCATAGTAAAATTTTTTAAAAAAAATGTTTGTTAATGTCTGAATAGTGGGAACACTGGTACAAGTCTGTGAGGGTGGGGCGTCAGAGTATCTACACCTCTCTCCCTCCCTTCACTTGTGGTTGGTGGCACTGATGTTTCCTTCCAAGGGGGAACTGCCTCTGGATAAGGCACGTGGACCCCCTCCGTCCCCCCCATTAAGCTATAGTCTGAGCAGTGTTGGAGATGGCCCCTTTAAGAACACAAACCCATTGGAAAGTCCCATCAGAGGATATTCCCATGCCAACCAATGGTGTTCAGCCCTCTGGTAAATCAGAAGAATAGAGCCAATGTTTATTTTTCCTTCTGCCATGGAAATGTGCCGGGAGTAATAGGGAAAACAAAATTTCATGTGTTTAATTCTCCTTAATTTTATTCTCTGGAGTTATTTCCCAGAAATATATATCTATGGAAAGCTCACTCTTCATTGCTGTGCTGTCCAACATGGTAGCCACAAGCTACATGTAGCTAATGACCACTTGAAATTTGGCTAGTGCTACGCAGGAACTGAATTTTTTATCTTATCCAGTTTAAATTAATTTAAATTTTAAAGCAGAAGCGGTGTAAAACATAGTTCTGTTAAACACAACTATATTGTTTTAATAAGTTCTATATTTCGTTTTAGCTGTTGCATCATATAAGATATTATTTAAGTTAATTTTTTTTTTAACTTTTTTAGCGTGGCTACTAGGAAACATAAAATTACATATTCGGCTGACATTATACTTCTATTGGATGGTGTATTCTAGAGGAAGTAGGGCAAGAATTCTGTCAGCCTGCACAAGATCAAAGCTTCCCCACTTACTACCTGTTTGGCTATGGCAATTTACTCAGCTTCTCCGGGCCTTGGTTTTCGTATCTACCAAATGGGCATGAAAATCCAAGAGCCCACTGTGTAGGGTTATGAGGATTAAATACTTTAAGATATGCAAAGTGTTTAAAATAATGCCTGGCATAAAGTAAGGATTATGTATGCACTTGTAGGTTAAAAATAAAAGCAAATTATTCCTCCCTAGAAGACGTAGATAACATTCTTCTAATAGATGATCAATGAGAGTAGATGATTGACTATAATTAATCTAATGCTCTAAACTGACTATCTGTAATAGATGAGGAATTATGATATCTAGACTTTTAAAATTAAGTCCCATAAAAAGGATGCTCACACAGAAATGAACCAAAACATACATTCTTGCAAAAGTTTAGTACCACCTTGAGATATATGTTTAAACTCTTTGCCCGAGGCAAAGAAAGACCCAGAGAGAGTGTTCTCGTCCCTGTGGCTCCTGTGCTCCCCTCTCCTCCAAGACTGTTGGGGCTGGCAGAGCACAGACCAGCTCTCCTTAGCTAGCACTTGCTGTGGATGACGACCAACCGCGACCACTTCAGAGATTTAAACATTAGCATGTACCTATATTACTGTAATAACCAGCTGTGTCATTTAGACATATAAGTAAACTATCTGAAAAATAGTCACTAAAATGTATGTAAAAGCTTAATCAAAGAAATAAAGTTTAATGAAAGATTTTATTAAAATTTTATCCAGGCAGAGGAATCGATAGATGAATCTTCTCATCTATAAAATTGCATACCCTTTAATGTCTTTAATTCGTTAGTCAGACATTCATTGAATACCTTCTGTGTGCATGGCCCTGGAAAACATGGCACAGTCTCTATGCTCAAAAAACTTTACCTTCTTATAGAGTCAAAATTAAGGCAAAAGTGAGCAATTTATGATTGTAGATTTTTTAGAAAACAAAAGGTCCATTTTGAGTGGTCCATCATTTAAAATATATTCATGTTTTTGAGTTTTCCTTGGGGAACAGTTCAAAAATGTAATTTCTAATTTGAGAGGGTACTTATCTCCATGTTTCATCAAACTTTCTTTTTTTGGTGTGGCTACAGGCAGATAACTAAGGTCAATATTCTCTGAAATGCTATTCTGTCTCCCTAGAAGATCAAAACACACACATCCACACATGCGCACGCACACACACACACTGGTACTCTTGAACGTGAAAATAAACCTCCCAAATCATGTTTGGGAAACTGAAAAAGTAATATGTTGAGCAAAATTAGGACTAGATCGTGCTTGTCATGCTATTTTCAGAATGTAGCACTCCCCTCGCCTCCCCTTGTCTGTAAAACACATCTGTGATTTCTTTACTAACCATTTTCCAGCCTCTTTCATAAAATAACGGTTGTGTTCTGGTGTTTCTCATTTTGAATACTGAGAGCATGTCTCCCATCTCATCCGCCGCCACATTGTTAAATCTGAAGTAGAAAGAGAGAGGGATTGCTCTGGTGTCTCCAGTTGGCAGCAGAAAACGTGTTGTTTTCAATTACTGTGTGTCAAAGCTCAGCCAAAGGGAAAGCGACTTTTCAGGACAATGTGCCTAGACAAAGAGCCACCACAAATGTGGACTGAGAATGACAACTCCCACCTTGACCCTCAATAGGGATTCCCACAACTGACACTCGCTGAGACTGAAGACTCTTCCCCTTGGGTTTACCAATTCGCATAAAGGAAAATTATTTGTTGTCTAGGCTGAATGACACAGACAGACATGGCCTGGATCCCTCCGGAGTGATGTTTGACAAAGGAAGTTCATTTACCCAGCCTTTTGCTCCAACGGATGTCTGCTCCCCACAATAGTAAAAGTTAACACAATACAGAAGTCTTGCTAATATAAAGGATTTGTGATTAACACTCTACATCAATTCTGATTTTCCATATTTTTTTTAGTAGAACCAGGTTTGCTAATAAATTGCCAGCTGTTAAAGTCACTAAGCCTATTTTCATCACAACCACCACATAACAGGACCCCTGCAATTACCTGAGGCCTGCCTTTCTCTCATTGTATACTTTATATTGTTTCAGATGAAACGTACCCTCCTCCTACAATTCTGGGGCTTCGTTGTTAGTGACTTAAATTCAGTTACAAGTTTCAAGTAAGTCGGTGAGCTGCGGGAGAGTGGCATCTGAGCCAATTCCTCTGCCTCCTAAGGCCTGGAGATGATTTGAAAAGACAAGGAAGGAGAAAAAGAAGGAAAGAGAAATAACCAGAAGTCAGGGGAGCCACCAAGAACTTTGACCAATCACTGTCTTGCGAAACAATATAGATGATCAAAATAGTGCTTCATCAGAAGGTGGGTTGGAAAAAAAAGCAACAAGGAGGAATTGATTGGAAACAAAAAATTGAAGAGAAAAAAACTAGTGCTCTCAGTTGAATTATGCGCAACTCTGTCAGAATGAAGAAAAATGTCGTTTAGTTCTTGAATTATGATCAATAATGTCTATTCTTCATAAGAATCACAGACTTTCTGTCTTCTCCTCGCCAACCTCCTCCAAGAGAAAGTAAACAATTTATGATAGAAGGAGTTTTGAAAAAAAAAATACTATGTAAAGATTTTTAATAGGGAGGAGATTTCATGAAAATCACATGCTAACAGCTCTGACTTCTCAAGAGCAGTGAGCTTCGCCCCTGAGAAAACACTATTTTCATCACGGCTGCGCTGCAGCTAAACTGCTGGTTTTGACAAGCTGTGTTCCTGGTAAAATGTTATTGTTGGCAAACGTGGACGGTGTGGAGACAGCTCGGGGAGGCTGCCTCCACAGTGGAGATGGGCAAATTGACTACAGCACCTGTGGGAGGGTTCGCTGCCTCTGAGCCAGATTCCCTCTGTTTTCCAGCACCCTGTCCCTTTGTTCTGTAATGAGAGCCAAATGTTCCCTTTGCCGTCCCTCTGGCCCTGTAATGTGACTCCCCATCAGCCTCGGACAGGCCCCTTCGCCCTTCCCCACTCCTGGGCCCTGTGGCTGCCACTGGCCTGAAATTGAAAGGGGGTTTAAAAGCCCACTGTTCTCCCAGTGGTCGCACGGACCCTCGTGGCTCCCTGTCTTCTGAGACAGCCGTGCCCTGCTCACTTTTTTCACGGTGAACCACAGTGTTAGCAGGTCAGCTATGGAAGCTCAACTTTTATTTGTTTGTTTATGTATTTATGTATTTATTTATTTTGGCGGGAGAGCCATCAATCATATTTTTCAGGCAGGAGCGACTCATCTCCCAAATGAGAAGTCTGGTGAATTTTATTGTGCTACACAGGACTCATAGCAGGAAGGTCTTCTGCTTCACAGAACTTGTTGATGCTGAAGTCTAAGCCCAGGCTTTTCTGGCTGTTTCTCCCCCATCTCAGTAAAGATGCGGCAGGTGAAGTTCCAGTGATGTGCCTGGGCAGGGTGCGCTGTGCTCCGAATTACAGCTGAAAATGTCAGGACGTGGCCTGGTTTGATTTAGAGAGTTCATCCTTTACCCAAGTCCGTTCCCCATCTGACCAAAATCCGATGTTCACTCAGAGATCAATCACCCACGCCGGTGCTCAGGGGACAGACAAGGATCTGCCCCAAATCAAAGCCAATCTTGGGAAGGTTTCAAAAAGCACGAGGGGAGTCATAGATGCTGGGTCCAGAGCACCCTTGTTAAGGGCTCCTAACACTGCCCCCACCTCCCTTCAACTCGCCTTGGGTCTGATGAGTCGAAACGGCCTGGAAGGTTCAAGAAGACCTTTACCTTTGTCACTTTTAAACAAGACCACAAGAAATTTGGTCTCAGATTTGTCAAATCAGTCCTGGCTTTTCTAGGCATCCCCAGCTTCCACTTCTGTGGACCCCCGTACAAATTGTATGATTGTTGCTGTAATGCCATGTGTTTTTCAAAGATTCTCTCTCTGCCAGGGCAAAGAGTTAGGCTAGAGCTGGAGAAAACAATTTGGTTTCAGTATTCCATGTGAAAAGGAAGCGTCAAATTCAAGAGCTACTTGGAAGGGAGACTTATAATACAGCTACACAGATTTATTACACATTAGGCGTTGCGCCGAGCACTTACGTGCATTATCTCATTCAATCCACGCCACAGTCCTGTGATATAAATACTATTGTTGCCCCAACATCTAAATGAAGAAACCGAAGTGTAGAGAAAGTTAAAGAACTTCCCTCTGCTAATGCACGACTGAGCTGGGATTTGCATCAAAGTTTCTCTTATTCTGAAGCTCAGATTCTTAACAGAAATGTGGGACGGAATCTGGTGATTGATCAGAAGCTAGGAAGAGAGACAGGCCTTGCGGTCAGAGTGATAGATGCTATATTGAGCCTAGAAATATGAATTAATGTTCACAATGATACACAGTTAGACCTAAAAGTGATTTTGGCCATCTAGATCAACTCTGCCATTTTACAGATGAGGAAGCTGAGGGTCAGAGATGACCTGAGGAATGCAAGGTCACTTAGTGTAACACTGGCAGAACTCAAGCTGGAAGTCAGCTCCTCCAAGTCCTAGGTTGTGTTTTTTTACTTTATTAACTTATTTGTCTAGTCCTCTCGAGCATCTCTATTTTCAGTGTGTAGTCTGCTAATTTCTTTCAAAAATTTTGACTAAAAACAGGACGTCGTATCCCTAACCAAGTCTTTAAGCACAGGAGTTTCTATACCTGCTATTGGCAGGTACTAGTGATCCTCACGTTCTGCTTCCACGCCATTTTCAAGTGCCAGCTATAAGGCCAGAGGAGGGGAATATGAAAGTGTTAGACACTGAGATCCTGAAACAAAGGAGCCAGCTGGCCGGCCTGCTTAGAACATTTTGTCCAGAGTCTTCAGAAAATTAGGGGAAACAAAAGAGAATTTAAAAATCTGCCGTTCTGTTTTCCAATGTAAGCTTCTGGTGTTTTCCTTTCTGCGCATAGTGAAAGTTCTCTCTGCTTTCCGGACTCGTTGGGGGGTAAGTGCACTACCCCTCGGCCTGCATTTGCCTGACTCATGTGGGACAAACTAGCCAGCCGTGCCCCGCCCCGACTACACTGCCTGGATTCCTAGGGTGAGGGAGAGTAAGCACCATTTGTGCGCGTTTGTTTTGGACAAACACTGATTGGCCTCGCCTGTTAGGGTGTCATGTTCTGGCCAGGGTGCTGTCCTGGGCGCGTTTATTTAATCCTCACCGCGACTGTTATATTCCTTTGTCGGATCAGCAAACTCAAGATGCAAACAGTTTTTTGTTCAAGTTCACACAGCTGAGTAGACCAGGCGGAGGTCAGCTTGGCGGCTCCCTCTGAGCTCTCAGTCCTTCTGCCTCGACGTGCCTCCTTCCATCTGCGGCTGTTCAGCAGGTCCTCAGCGCCCTCAGCTCAGGGGCCAAACTGAGGACGGAGACCGAGGACTCTCCCAGGACTGGCCTCTGTACCCCCTGCCTCCTCTCTCCTGCATCTTCCGGAAACAAAGGTCCTCCCTGCATCCCCAAGGGACTGCGATTTCCCTCCTCTTCCAAGTGGTGTCAGGCTTCTAGCTACTGATCACGTGACCCTCCTTCCTGGAAGTCTCTGTCCCCACCAGACTTATACAGCAACTTCACAGATGACTAAGGAAATGGAAAACATAATGTCTGTTTAATCTACATCAGTCTCGTTTACCTTCAGAAGACACTGGTTTTTCTCCACTATCTTATTTTTCTTGGTTTTAGAGTCACTAGAAAACTATGTGATTGTGAGTGGAGGGAGTTTTCAATGCTTGCTTAAAAAAAAAAGACAGCAGCGTTTGGGACAGAGTGAGCCCTGGG